TGAGGAGTCAACAAAGCTTGGCACATTCAGTTGAGGCAGGACCAAGCCCCTCCTCCCTGCATGAGGCTGAGTAAGGCATCCTACCATATGGAATGGGCTCCAAAAAGCCAACTCATACACCAGGGATAGATCCTGGTCCTACTGCCAGGAGTCCTACAAACAGACCAAGCCACACAACTGTCAGCCATTTGCAGAGGGCCTGGTTCGGTCCCATGCAGGCTCCCCAGCTGTCAGTCTAGAGTTTATGAGTTCCCACTAGCTTGGGTGAGCTATCTCTCTGTGAGTGTCCCTTGTAGAGAGCTGCAAAGTGCTGCACCTTAAAGATGGCACTGGCTTCCGCCTTCCACCTCTGTGTGGAACAGCGCTCTCTGTTGTAAACAAGTCCTTATTTGGCTAAGCCTGTTCAGCTTGCTTGCTTGCTTCCGTATAAGAGCAGCCTATCTGCAGGGTCCACATGGCTCACTAGGGTTGGTCAGCACAAGGGAATTTAAGCCTGTGTGGGCATTTCCCCCGGGGCCCACCAGAAGAAGAGGCATGTTCAAGGATCCTGATTAAACTGCTAGAAGAAGATCTTCCCTGAGTCGCGTTTTTTTCTTGCTGGTTGAGGTTGGATGCGACAGTCTCTATCATGATCTTGAACCCCTTTGTTCATATAATCCCTCCTCCCTCTCTTCAACTAGACTTCAGGAGTTCTGTCCAGTGCTTAGCTGTGGTTTTCTGTATCTGCTTCTATCAGTAACTGGATGAAGGTTCTATGATGACAATTAGGATCGTCACCAATCTGATTACAAGAGAAGACTAGTTCAGGCGCCCTCTCCACTATTGCTAGGAGTCTTAGCTAGGGTCATCCTTGTGGATTTCTAGTAATTTCTCTAACACCAGGTTTCTCCCTAATTCCATAATGGTTCCCTCTACCAAGGTATCTCTTTCATTGCTCTCCCACTCCATCCCTCCTGTTTCTAATGGCATTTTCAGTTCAATGGCTTATGTTAGATTCAACATTCCTTAATAATTACTTAATCTCCTTATCTGTAACTATGCGGCATTTTAAGTTTTATTTTTATTTTATGTGTCTGATGTCTGCCTGCACGTATGTGTGTGCACTATATGTGTGCACTGCCTATGGAGTCAGAAAAGGGTGTTGGATCCCACGAGGCTGGAGTTACAGCTGGTTGCAGGCTGCCACATGGTTGCTAAAAATCCCATATCTTCTGGAAGAGCAGCCAGTGCATCTTTCCAGCCCCAACAATGTATCTTTTATACCTAATTTCATTTCTTTTATCATATTTTTGCACATATTATCTACATTAAAATATTTTAAATATCTTTATCTCTACATATATGTTTTGTACATTTCATCTATATGGAGAGTAGGATACAGTCTCATGTAACCCAGGATGGTCTCCAACTCACTCTATAGACAAGGATAACTTTGAACTCCCTGGTTTTTCTGACTCCCAAATGCTGCGATAACAAGTATGTATTACTATGCCTGACTCCTTTGCCTCTATACATTTGACTAGACAGTCATCTATATTGTTTTGTTTTCCCTGATAGAAATAGCAATTTGATAACCAAATATTAAGCTCTTTTCATTCTAATTAGATTTTTCTACATTAATCTTTGTTCATCCCTTCCTCCAGCTTTCTTTAGATAATACTGTCGGTAATAATAAGGCCAGCCATCATTACTGAGAAGCTATCATTTGTGGGGAGCCCAGACTCAGTAGGGAACATAAGTATTCAATTATTTAATAATTTCCTCATGCATGAGGGAACTGGAGCACTGAGAGGTCACTAATAGCAATAGCAACTTACAAATATCATGTTTTATTCAGCAATACGCTGGGTAAAGCAATATATTCTCTTCTAATGAGGGCTTTGAATACAACTTATATTACAATATTACAAATGGCATTACTTTTCTTTTAATGTGTTTGGATGTTTTTAATTGTCTGTATATCTATGTACCATGTGCATGTCCACAGAGGTCAGAGAGGGTTTTAGGAGCTCTGGAACTGGAGTTTAGACAGTTGTGAGCCACCATATGGGTGCTGAGAACTGAACCTGGGTCCTCTGGAAGAGCAGCCAGTGCTCTTAACCACTGAGGTATCTCAACCACTAAATGTCATTTATAGGTATCCCATGACTTTGTGGCTTTGACTTCCTCTCTGGCATAAAAATTGCTTAGAAAATTATTATGATTGCTTCTAAATGGTTAAGTGAATTATCAAAAGTATTACTTTGTTATGAATTTCTTGTGAAAACTTAAGTTCATGCATCCAGCAGAGTGCCTGAGTTTTTAAAAACCATTTAGACTTGCTCCCTGCTTCAAAAGCTGCTCAATATACCTGCTGTCAGAACTACTTACAAGACTTTTAAAATAGAAATGTCAGGTGACAATCTAATTTAAAAATGATCAAGGCTTTTATGAGCAGAGTTCACAGCAAATAAATATGGTGGCCCTTAAACACAAGAAGTGATGTCTGCAACTAGTGGGTATCCACATGGCACACTGAGGCTCATGTTTTAGGCTGGAGAGCTGGTTACTATAAATTTGGGACAGCAAATTAAATAATACAGAGGTCTAACACTGGGACAGAAATCACTGCCAGCAAGGGAATTTCATCCCTGCTCAAGTCTGTCTTTGTGTCCAGTGAAGCTGCTAAGCCACGGAGCCAATTTTTCCTGCCTAGTTTCCAACTGGTCTGGCAATTAGCGCAGGTCCATGCTGTGACTGTCCAGTTTCCTGGCTGGTGTACAGCTTCTCAGTGCCACCCTACCCACTGGCTTTCTGTGGGAGAGCCACATTTGTGTTTCCTCAGTTCCTGTGGGTACTGGTTTCGATTGCTATAGGTTTAGGACAAAAATAATTCTATGGAGAAAGGTATCTGGCTATTCATCCCTAAGGAGCACCAGATTCTTCCAGAATCTCCTATCGGAACTTGCTACGTGGCCCAGACCAGCCTGAACTCCTTGACCTATAAAGTGCTTCAATCACAGGCATGAGCCACAAGGCCTGACTCAGAATCTCCAATTACATGTATTCTACGCCATCATATTCTACGGAAGGAGAATAAAGCTTCAACTCAAGGCCACCTACATTTTGGTCCTAACTGTCCCATAGGTTACAACTTTTTTTTTAAAAAAAAAAATGATGTATTTGTGTGTGTGTGTGTGTGTGTGTGTGTGTGTGTGAAAGCATGTGCTATGCTCCTGATACCTATCCCTAGCTTTGGTCCATGATAAACATGGATAAGCATGAGCTGAGATATATGGAACATAATACTAGAAAAAAGAACTTTGGGGAGCCAGGTGGGGTGGTATGCACCTTAATGCTCAACACTCAGGAGGCTGAGGCAGGAGGATTGTGAGCTAGAAGCTAGTCTTGACTACACAGTGAGCTCCAGGCCGCTCTTTGACTACAGACCATTTCCGCAAAATGCCAGGAAAGAAAAATTAAAAGGTCCTTATAATCGCCTGTCATCTCACAGAAGTTTCTAATCTTGGTCTGGGTGTTATTAAGAAAGAAAGGTCTCCAGAGGTAGCCCATCTAAGTGGAGATCCGACTTGGAGACAGGGACCCAGGAAACACCCACTCAAGAAAACTGTTTAACTGACTCTGCCATGCCTTGTAAATACAATGTCTACCCAGAAAAACACGTGCAAAGACAATGGCTTCCCTTCCAAATAAGAAATAACCCAGTCCTACTCAGTTGGCAAAGCACAGGCCTCATCCTCACAGCCAGAATCACCAAGACACAAATAAAAGCTGGACACAAGCTGACAGCTTTCTCAAACACTGGTTCCCAAAGCAGGGTTATATACCTTGCTCTGTGTTCCCATATTGAAAGCTTAAAATTTGGGCAGGAAAAAAATTGCTATTTCTGGGGCTGGGGAGATGGCTCGGGTCTGTAAAGTACTTGCCACTCAAGCAATATAGATTTGGCTTCGGATTCCCAGTACCCACATGAAAAGGCAAGCGTGGTAGTGTCTGCATATAATCCTAGTATCTGGGAGGAAGAGGCACGAGGATCCCTGTGGCTCACGAGTCTTGATGAACTGGTGAGCTCCAGATTCAGTGAAACCCTGTCTCAGAAACTAAGCTGTCAAGAAAAACAGGAAAACACCCAACATTAATCACCGGCTCCATGTACACATGTGCACACACATGCACACCCATACACAACAGCAAACAGAAAAGAAAACTGTTATTCCTATCTTCAAATACCTTCAAGTGTTTCCAATTACACTCACACAGACCTCCCTGACTTGACCACATCAGACCCTGCCAGGGACCAAGATAAACACACAGATTTATTCCGGTTCCTGGAGCATCCTATGTAAATGGCTAGAAAACACTTGTGATATTTATTAAGATTCTGTTTCTCTTTGGTGAGACTGTAAGCCTTATGGGAAATAGGGACCAAGTCTCAGTCATGACTGTCCCCAGCACCCATCATGGTTTCTGGTTCGAGGGTGCTTAGTAAACCACATTAGTTGAACCAAATAGAAACCAGTTCTAGTTCCCCTGCTTGAGGAGGTCATGATTCAGAGAGGGACACCTGACATCAGTGTTCCTGCTGGGGACATCATTCCAGCTCAAGGACCCCAGCACACACAACCTTCCCCAACTAGGTGGCTAACATGGGTAGCAATCTGGCCAACTCTCTCCCAGAACATAGGGCTGTGTCCCGCCTTGAAGAGCCACACTGAGCCATCCCTACAGCATCCTCCATCTCGCCAGAGTCACAGTCCCTCCTATGAAACACAGGGAAGTTCCAGAAGTTCTGGCCTAGGTGACCTTGAGGCTCAGACAGCTGGCAGGAACACATGCTCATGCTGCCTGGCAACACCACAGACGGCAAGATTCCAGCAGCTCTACCCCTCCTGTACAACCAGATCAGACTTGTCAGTCTGGTATTTCTGCCCTGCCCCCATTTTCCTTAATGCCAGCTCTGCCTGGGAGAGGCGTGCTTTCCACCAGGGTAGCAGCCCCACCTGAGGATGATCCGAAGGTACTCAATGCCCTCAGCTTCTTCGCATTTGATGGACAGGATCAAGTTCCCCAGGCTGCTGCCAGTACAGTAAAAGTTTAGATGATCCTAGGAGTAGAAATTGAGTGTGAGCTTCCAGACATGGCCCCCACATCACCTCCTTCACCCAGACATGGCCCCACATCACCTCCTTCACCCAGACATGGCCCCCAAATCACCTCCTTCACCCAGACATGGCCCCCACATCACCTCCTTCACCCAGACATGGCCCCCACATCACCCCCTTCACCCAGACATGGCCCCACATCACCTCCTTCATCCAGACATGGCCCCACATCACCTCCTTCATCCAGACATGGCCCCACATCACCCCCTTCACAGAGGAACAAGTCCCACAAAAAGCAGGAGGAGAAGGACGCCACTGCTGCAGCGGTGGTGATGAAGACGATGATCATGATAGTGGTGGTAATGGTGGTGATAAGGATACTAGTTGGTGCCAACCACTGACTCCTCAGGATGTGCCAGGCACCAACCCACAGCCTTAGTATCCACTATCCTCTTAAACCCTGACCACAGCTTTGTGTAGGAGATGATGTCACCATCCCCATTCCAATCACAGAATCAGTTTCTGGCAGAGCCAGGCTCAACTCCAAATCTTAATGAACTCTTAAATTCAGGCCCTTCACCACCTGATGCTGAGTTCACTTTCTCACTCAGACGGCAGCCCTAACCAATCGAAACCGTGGGAGAAGACTAGGAAGAACCCAAGAGAATGACAGTCCCTCTTAACAAGGTGGGGCTCTTTGGCTTCCTAGAGCCCACCTCCCAGGCTCACCCTGTTACAATGAGCCCATGGAAGCTGCACTTAAACAATGTTCCCTAAGATCCAGTGAAGTCTGCAGAGCTTCCTTCAGGTAAGACTGCAACACTATCTTAGGCTACAAACTTCCAGAGCTGCCCTTGGGACTTCAGGGAATACATCAAGACAAGAACATATCTGAGGAAATGTAACTTTGCCATTGTTAAATAATCATTCTTGTGGACAACATCCAATCTCAGTACTCAGGGGACCATCCTGAAAGAGAGCCTAAGAGACGGGCACTGTGCAAATGTAAACAGAGCCATCCAAGCAGGAGGGGGCATGTTTTTGGCCAGTTAAACTTAGTCTAACTTGAGCAGTTAAAACTCTTTCACTGCCCATTTCATCACCTCATAAAACACGTGCTGGAGGTGGTCCCCAAAAGGCCCCTCAAGGGGACTCTATGTCACTCCTAAGACTCAGTATGATGGAGGAGGGCAGTGAGTAGTAAAGAACCAAGAAAGAGAAGAGGCAGAGAAGTCAGAGGAACCCTGAAACAGAGATCCATGTCACCCTCCCCAAAGCAGAGTCCACTCTGGGAGGGTCCCTGTGCTCACCTTGCCTAGGAAGTGCCTGCGGTAGGCCCTGGCTTCACTCCTGCACTCAAGCTTGTAGCCGAACGTGTTGGGGCTCAGGCTGTCCTCTTCCTCCTCCTCATAAACGCTGCTGCCCAGTGATGTTGGAGTACCCACGTTCTCTGGGTCCTCAATCCAGTAGCCCCCAAACTGGGGAAGGATGATCAGAGGATATGGGCCCCCCTTCTCCACAACCTGGGGACAAAGGGAAGTTCTTGCCCTGAAGCCTACCCTGAATTGTAGTAGAGAGGGATCCCACCCACCTCTGAACTGTTCCAAAGAGGGAGATCTTATATCCCAGGCCAAGGGCACTAACATGGCATCTCCAGCTTCACTGGGACCTTGGGTTTCACAAGGACTATCTGTGAACCCCCAAGTTAAACCAAAAAAGCTCTGGTCACAGATGAAAGATAGGAAGGTGCAGTAGGCCCTAAAGTCTTAAGTCCAATATTCTCTCCCATGTGGGGCTTGGAAGGGCCATCATCTCAGGAAGGAAACCCAGAGCAGGCTGTAATGCAGTCAGGAGCTCCTACCTCTTCGATGCTGGGGTATGGGATATAGTCATCCTGCAAGACAAAGCACAGGACACTGTCATTAGTTCCACAAGTGGCCATAACAGTCTAACTATTGCTTCCATGTTCCTCACCCAGGTCTAGTGAAGGGAGGTGTTAGGGGGTCTAGTAGGATGCTTCAGGGCTTCAAGGAAGCAGAATCTGAGAGCCTTGTAGAAACAACCCCAAAGACTCAGCATCCCGTGCCATTGAACTCTCCTCCAAATCAACAGACCTGAATGCAAACCCAGCCAACCAAAGACACAGCACACAAAAGGGTCACCCCCAATGACACTATCTTGTCATCCTAGGGGTCTAAGACAGAAAGAGAGCTGAGCAGCTGGGAAAGTTGACACACACCTACAATCCCAGTGTTCTGGAGGTAGAGGCAGGAGGATCAAGAGATTGAGGTCATCCTTGGCTACATAACAAATTTGAGGCCAACTAGGATTAAAAGGGACCAAAGAAAAAGAATCCTTGACCCTCCCTGTCCCTTCCCCCATCCTCTTCAAGTAACTGGGCCTTAGAAACAGAACCTGAAGCTAAGATCTGGTGGCCCATCAGAGTCCAGAGTCCAACAACCCTCAACACTTGCAGATGCACATAGAGAATGGGAAGGAGCCAATCCAGGCCTTCAATCCTTGGGTCTCACTTGAGAGTCTCCATCCAGCCTGCTTGGAAGCAGCCTTAAGACACTGAGCCAGGGCCCCTTTGCCGCCCACCAGACAGGAGGCTAAGGAGAGTGCAGTCCTTAACTGGCTCCTGGTGAAACGCAGAGACTATGGGCATGCAGGATGATCACTGATCCTCCTGCCCTCTTCCTACACTGGTCCCTCATGGGGTCCAGCTAGCCATTCTACCTCAACTGCCTATCCCACCTTGTTCTTCTGGGGTCCTGGCCTCTGCTCTTCAAGCTTGATCCCCTGTGGAAACAAGGAAGAGAGTATCCACATAAACAGAGGTCACTGTGCACAGTGTAGAGCCTCGGGTATGCACTACAGCCTCTCACCTCCCACACTTGGCAGTTGTCAGTCCCAACACCAACCCCAGATGAGGTTGCGGGATGGCCAGTTAAGAGTGTGTGTAGACTTGAGCCAGATCACCTGCATTCAAGTCCCAGCACTGACACTTCCTAGTCTGATAACCTGGAACAAGTCACAGATTCCTCTGCATGACTCCTGTTCTCACCTATAAAGTGGGGATGTTAACAGTGCCTTCCATTCTGCAGTGCAGGTTAAAGGCTGGCAATGGGTTATACATTTCAAACACTGATGGTGTACAGCAAATGGTGTGGGTAGAATTAGTGTGGGTGGGTAGCATTATCATCTCTGTGCTCAAATACCTTCCTGAAGGCCATAGGGCCTCGGGTGTGGAAGGTGAGCACCCACATCTGCAGATGTCAGAGCCAGCACACTGGTCCTCCTGCCTCTTAATGTCACCTTTTTCCTGGAGGAAGGGTGTTTGGATGGCAGGCAGGAAGTAGGGTTCTTCAGGTACTCATTCTGCCAGGTGTTTCCTATCTGTAACCCAGGGAATCTCCCTGGCTGCATTTGTGGAATGAGGATTAGACCTCAAGCCACCATCTGCATCTTCCAGATTCAATGACCAAGTTGGATTAAAGGGCTTTCATCTGCAGTTGCTGGGAACCCACTTCCAGGAGCAGACCTTGTCCAGCAGCCTTAGTTGGGTTCTGGCTTAACCGGGCTGTGCAAGAGAGAAGGAAACACAGGCTTTCCCAAACTGAGTACATCCGGTCAGAGTATGAGCTGAAGGGCATCTGGGAGATGCCGTTCCCCCTATGGTCACACCTCAGCAAGGCCCTAACCCTCCAGAGGGATCACCACTTTTGAAGGCAAAACACCTTTTCATCAGTGAGGAAACTGAGGCCCCAGAGGCGGCTGTGTGTTGAAGGGCACTAAGCTAGTGAGTTATAGGAACTGTATTTGAAGCTGAGTATATAACCATACACCCTGCTCCCGGGACAGCCGGTCTCCTATGCTAACTAGGTGGAATTTAATAGTTTCTCTGGACTGCTGGACTGAGTCATCCCCCAGCATTGTTCAGGAGGGTGTGGGAAGGCCCTTCCCACTGACAGGTGCTTCTCACACACCCTCAGAAAACCGTCTGGGTGGCCCTGCAGACCCTGTCCAGGTTGGCACACGGGGTGGGTGGGGGAGTGATGTCAGGAGTTTGTTTTGTTTGTCCTAGTATTAGTCATTTCTGTCTGGGAACAGTACCCAGGGCAGGAATACAAACCTCCCCCCAGCCTCACTGCCACTCCATCCCTCCCCTACCAGGAAGCCCCATGCATAGCCAGGCCCTCCCTCCTCCAAGCATTACCCTCTGCAGGAGGTACTATCCTTATGTTCCCTTATCCCTGCCCCCAAGAAGAAACGGAAGTTGAGAGGGGGAAATGACTTGACCAAGGGCATTCAGCTAGAGGACATCAGGTTCAGACCTGAATCTGGGCTGGAAGACTCCAAAGGCTCCTTGACTTCAAATTCCTAGACTCGGGCTGGAATCAGGGGGTTTCGGGTCCTAGTCTCAATCTCAGTGCTTCAGGACTAGCAAAGGGGCCCAACCACACAACTGCTCCAAGACTCGGTGTCCACAATGGTGAGATGAAGAGGGATGAGGGCCAGGCCTGAGGGCAGAATCCAGCCAGGCTGCAGCATGTCCCTCTCTGCCAGCTCTCTAGATGTAAGCCCCATCCAGGCAGTTGCTGGAAACTGTGGCGCACTGTGGGTAAATCTTACCCATTACAACCTTGCTTCCCACAGTTTCTATTGAGGTACAGCTGGCAAGCCACGCTGGGCATCGCTGTCTCTGAGATAACAAGAGACTGCAAACAAGACCCCTGCCCTAGAGAGGTTCCCAGTATAACTGGGAAGACAAAACCAACAGCCTCTCAGAACGGAACTGTTCAAGAGTCCACAGGGCTGGGTTCTGTGGGAGGAGGCAGGGACTTCAGCTGCAGGTGAGGGTGGGTGGGCTGAGAGAGCAACCATGGAGAAGGCAGAGTGAGCCACCAACCCCTCCCAGGGAGCTGAGATCTCATTGGCCAGCAGGGAGATCCCCAGCTTTGCTCTGCTGTCAGGCACTAATGATACCCTGTCTCCTGCTACTCAGAGGCACATAGCTTGTTTCCACAGCTAGATTATGAGTTCCCCTAAATGAGCAGAAAATGAGTTTGCAGTCCACACACTGCCAGGCGGGTGCAGAAGAAAACTGAACAATTTACCCCGTGGTAATGGCACAACTACTAACAATTACTCTCCCTTAACAGCCCTCCCCTTCCCCACCCTCAGGGAGCCCTGGCAGGGCCCTCTTCTCTGCATCACAGGACCATGCTGGATCCTTTCTCAGTCCCTCCTCCCAGGGCTTCCAGCCCCTTATTTCACACCTTCCTCCTGAAGTGAATATATTTTAAAGAGAAGAAGAAAGTAAAGCAGACTCTTCTGCCTCTGGAGTAGAAATGCGCATCATTCCTTTTAGCACTCTTGCTGGCTGGGGGCAGGAGAACAGTGAGATAGGCAGTCTGAAAGCCTCATAAGGATAACACGGCCCATCCATCTATGACCCCAGAGAAGCGCTTGACATATGTACACCATTATCAACTGCTCCATCACAATCCTGTCAACCAAGCCAGGAACTCAGCTGACACCAGTGTGGACCACAGAACGGCTCTTACCTGTGAGCGAGCCCTAATCTGGGGGGGGGGCGGGTAGAGCACTGGTTCCAGGACACATGGATAAGAACACCCCCTTATCTATGTCACTCAGTTCCCTATGTTCAATGGCACAGTGTCTGAACAGAACCTGTATAGATCCTGCTGTGTCCTTCAAGCAGTCTCTAGGTGACTTACAATCCCTAACGTGATGTAAACACTGAGTAAATAGTGTTGTTGCTTGTCCAGGGAATAATGACAAAGATGATGTCTGTACATGTTCAGTACAGCTGTAACCCTCTGCATTCACCGTTGCTTTAATCCACAGAGAGGAGTTCATAGAAATGGACCCTCAAATGCAGTCCAGACATTGACTCTCATGTGGTGCCCTCCAGGCATTTACATACGGGATCTCATTTCATCTCCAACACTGTGTCTGTGGGCATTTTAACTCATACTTGATTTTGGTGACTTGAAAGTGGCAAGCCAACAACAGGTTGCGCACTAAGTGGCAGGTGTAGGGTGTGAACTCAGATCTGCATCTCACTTGTGGCTCTGCCTCCCTGACTCGATGTAACACTCCTCTAGATGGAGCTTGCTTTTCCAGGGTTCCTTCCAAACTCATTCCAGAATCAACAGCTCTTCTGAGCCTTTTGAGCCCTCTATGTCCCACGGCAAGAGTCTACCCAAAAACTCAACGCCACTCAATAGCAAAGTGGCCTAAGTTGTTGGAGCTGAGGGTCCTCTCCCTCCAAGGCACTTCCTGCTACTGGGACCCACAGCCCTGCCGCATCCACATCTGAGGTTGGGCTGCTGACCCATTTGGGGTACTCACCTGCATTTTCTCCAGCATCTCGAAGAACTCTGCAGACTAAAAAACATAAGGGGCAGAGGTCAATAGGATGGGCAGCTGAGAACACCTCCCGCTCATCAACCCTCTGGAACCTGAGCCCCAGCCTTCCTTCCCCAGGGGCAAAACTCATTTGGGTCAAGAGAGAAGCTAATGTGATTTTTGCCTTTGCAGGCCTGCAGGGCCAGAACACTCCAGGCAATCAAAGAAGAAATAAAACAGGCCCTGCTGATGATCAGTCCCAGAGAGTGCAGGCCCTCTCAGAAGGAGGTTATGTAGTTCCCTTGAGAAAAGCCAACTCCCCTAAAATGCCTGAGAAGACAGCATGATTGTTGCCTGGGATATTTCCAGCCAATAGCGGGGCCAACATGGCCAACACTCAGTTTTCTGCCATTTATGACACCATGGCCTTTTCTGTCTCCTATAAAAATCTACTCAGGACCTGACAGAATGCCAGTAAACACTCCAGCCTGAGTCTGATGTGGCCCTGTGTCCCCAGCCCCTGAGGCATGGCTTTGAGACCTAGAATGAGTTGGTGAAGCAAAACTCAAAACCTACTCCATTGGGCTTCCAAGTCCAAGGATGAATTATGTGTAACTGCTCCAACAACACCTTTCCAGACTTTTAACCCACTTTGCTATCACCTGTGTAAACTCAGGGGGGAAGGAACAAGGAAGCTAATGAGGCTGCTGAAGGAACACAGGAGTCTCTAGAAGTCCCCCACCCACCAAGACAACACCACTGCCCACATATGAACCCTGGCATCTGTAAGCTAATTAATGCCCAGAGCAGACAGCCCCCAGATAAAAGAAAAAAGGTAACAGCGAGGAGGGAGAAAACACACGTCCTCATCACTGCTCCATGCACAGACAGAGAGCCACAGCTCTGCAGGTGTCAGTGAGCTAGAGCGTCCTGTGTGATTCTAAGCCCAGTGCCCTTAGAATCCTTCAGAAGGGAACCACCAATGGGAAAGAAAGACTCTGGGGAATCATCTGGAGAAACTCACTCCTGCTTTCAATGCAAATCATCTGTCAGACCAAAGCAGACCTCCTAGAGGCAGAAAGCCTGCAGCCTATAGTAATTTAGGATGTACAGCCTGGAAACTGACAAATGAATGTGCAGCGGCAGAGGCACTCACACCCAACGCCCATGGCCAGTCTCCAGCAAACATCTAGACTCCAAGCCTAGTCGAGTTAGGTACAAGCCACACTGTAAGTATCCTTTTAACTCCAGTCTCCAGGACACTGGGACTGCCAGACGTAGAGCTTACACAAATCAATAAAGATAGGGACTAGAGGACAGCAACAGCCAGTGTTTATTTAAATAGACTCAACAGCTACACCCAAGGGAAAAATCTACATCCTAACACATGTGCACTACGCCAAGCACTCATAAAAAAAGTTCATCATCACATTGACTGTAACAGTAAAAAACAAAAACAACTTCGATACTAATCTATAAAAAATGGTCAGACTAAGCTACATCCGTAAGACTAAAAATGCAAACATTGTATACAAATGTATGCCAATAAAATTAAATAGCTTACACGAAGTGGACAGATTCACAGGAAACCACAAAGTACAAAAACTGACTCATAAAGAAACAGAAAATCTAAAAAAAAAAAAAATGTAACAAATAGTGATTTAAAAAATACCCTCAAAGAAAGGCTTAGGGCCAGATGGCTTCAACTATACATTCTACCAAATATTTAAATCAGAATGAATACTAAACCTCATGATCTCTGAGAAAATACAGCCCCCAGTCTAGGAGACTTTGTTTGCAAGCCATGTGTCTGATAAGGGATTGTACACAGAATATGTAAAGAACACAAACAACCCAATAGAAAACAACAACACCAAATAGCTCCATTTAAGAACAGTGAATGTGGGGCTGGGGAAATGACTCCACAAGTAAGGGGCTTTCTGTGCAAGTGTGAGGACCAGATTTCAGATCCCCAGAATCCACCTAAAAGCTCAGTGGGAGTGAATACCTCTCAGTAATCCTGGGACACAGGAAGCAGAGACAGGGAATCTTCAAAGTCAGCTAGACTAGTGGAATTGTGGGCTCTGACCCTTCAATGAGAGGCCCTCCCTCTATATATATGAAAGGGAGAACAATCAAGGAAGATGCCAGACATCAGCTTTTGGACCCCACAGGCATGTGAACACGGATATACACCACACATATATCCAAAAAAACCACACAAATATATACCATATACATGTATGACAAAAAAAAAAAAATGTCTGTATAGACATACCCCTAAACTGAGAAGAAACACAGATGGGAAGTAAGCATGGGAGAAGACACTCTGCATCATTAACCATCAGGAAACAGCAAATCCACAATGAGACTCCACACACATTGCTCAGATGGTCACAATTAAAACATGGAGGATGGAAAATCTGGCAGGACCTAGGGGGAGGATCGGGCAAATATGATCAAAATAGATTATATGAAATGCTCAAAGAACTAAGCCTTCTGCTTTTTGGTTTTTTGAGTGGGTTTCTATGTGTAACCCTGGCTGTCCTGAAATTCATTCTGTAGACCAGGCTAGCCTCCAACTCAGAGATCTCCTACCTCTGCCTCTCTGCCTCTCTGCCTCTCTGCCTCTCTGCCTCCTGAGTGCTAGGACTAAGGGGATGAGCCACCACCACCTGGCAAGATTTAATTATTTTAAAAAGAAAGTAGAGGAAAAAAGAACACAATGGCATTGGGGTCCCATGTTCTCCTGGTAGGATGTAAAATGACACACATGCTGTAGAAAATAACTTGTAATTTCTCAAAAAAAAATTAAACACCAAGTAAGGTGGCACACATCTTTAATACAGCGCTCGAAGGCAAAGGCAGGAGGATCTCTGTGAGAAACGTCAGTGGGATATACATGGCAAGTCCAAGGCCAGCTAGGACTATACAGTAGAACCATGTTGCAAGGAAAAAATTATATGAAAATATCTATTTTCAATAAAAAACAAGAAAAATTAAACATAAAGATGCTACCTGACCCAGAAATTCTATTCCATGTATACACCCAAAAGAACTGAAAATGGGCACTCAAATATTGGTCCACAAGTGTTCACAGCAGCATTTTTCACACTTGCCAAAAGGCTAAAAACTCCAAAGGGCAAACAAAATGTGACATATAGATAGAATTCAGTCATAAAAAGGAAAGAAGTGTTGGTTTGTGATATCATATAGATGAACCTTGAAAAAAAGATGCAGGTAAGTGCAAAAAGACAAACACGGAAAGCTGCATAGCAGAAGACTCAATCTATGAGCTTATGAAGTATCCAGAATACAAGTGTCTGTGCAGACAGAAAGTGGGTTAGTAGCTGCTGAAGGAGAGGAGTCAGAAGACTAGGGGATGATAGGCAGGAAAGAGACATTGGGTTGCTCTTAGGATGATGAAAACCTTCCACCATTCACTGAGGCAATGGCTGCACAACTCTGTAGATATACCAAAAATACTAAGTTTTAAACTCGAAATGGGTGAGCTTACGACGTGTGAATGATCTCAATAGAGATACCTTTAAACCCTACACAACAACTCAAAAACAGAGAAACCCACTGTGTGGGTAAGACATTCTCCCAGGTGCATCAAGTTGTGGGGGAAAGCAAGTCAGGACTCGGCATTGACTATGATCTCACTTTTATATTTAATAAAAATAAAAGACCTCTACATATGCATAGAAAACAAACTACCTCAAACCATCAAAAGAGCAATCATGTTGGAAAGGGCAGATGGGGGCTGCTCTCCTTTTTACATTTGGGCTGCTTCACCCAGCAGAGACACAACACACGTATACATGATTTCTGTGAGGAAACCAAACAGATGTGCAGAGGACACGAAGCATCTACTAAAGGAGAAACAGAAACTGGCCACAGAGCAGAGGGACAAATGGCCGGCTTCCTAGGCACCAACAGGACAGACATGATGAACAATAAGACAACATGGTCCATTCTGTCACATTGGCCAGTGTTGGCGATGTGGGGTGGTGGGAGCTCTCCATTTGGCTAGCTAGCTATCCAGCATGCCTCTGGGATACATGTCTCTCTCCCTAGTGCTGGGATTTTAGGCACATTACTGAAGCATCTCACTTTTTACATGAATGTTTGGAATTTGAATTCAGCTCCACATGTTTGTGGGGCTAGCACTTTACTGATTGAGCCGCCTTCCTGGGACTACATCCATGTATTCGTTCATAGTTCTCTGTTCAAGAGGTAGAACCCAATCCCCTGTCCACCAAGTATGGGCCAGATTGCTATTCATCGCTTCCAATAATAGGATAAAATGTGGGTGACGGTGTATGATTTTGGATTGAGTGGAGCAGTGGTGTGCGTAGCTGACGTGATCTTTCTAGAGGACAACTTTGTGCTCAGTGTCCAAAGTCTCAGAAACGTTCATATGCTTTTTGCTCCAATAAAGCTGTTCTGGGGAACTGATCCTAAGAAGATATATGAGTGACAGTACAAGGACAGGTACAAAGGGGTACTTACAGGAGGAGGAGGGAGGGAGGGAGGGAGGGAGGCAGAGTGCCAGAATGGGGAGGGAAAAATGATGAAGAGAGAATGTCCATACAGTTCCAGCCCTCAAGGGCCAGACATCAGGAGATAGAGGCAGGAGGGCCAAGAGTTCAAAGTCATCCTCATAATGAATAAAAGGCCAACCTGGGATACAGGAGACCCGATCTCAAAAAAGGAAAGATCCCACAAGAGAAGTCTATGTGAATTCTGCCCACGGGGATTCACAGTGCACTGCTAGGTGGGGGAATGCCCGGGGAACAAGGAAGGCAGTCCATTCAGTTAAATGTAAGTGGGTGTCTGCGTGCAGAAGGGCAGGTCTGAGGATGAGCGGCATCCAGAAGCATTGGAAGACAAGGCCGAGATGAGATCTCGGGTAAGGGCGTTTCTTTGGTGTTTTGTTCTTCAGCATTTTTACCTGTAATTGCTTTTTACGTGTAATCCAGGTTTTAAAGATGTTGACGCATACGTGGGGGCTCTGGCAGACCTTTTGTTTTGTT